ACATTTGGTACCTTTTTGATTACAGGATTAACAGGGTGCCTTAGCAATGTTTGTAATTGCAAGTGGGTGATCTAGAGTTAGGGGTGGGTGGGGATCAGTCAGGATGGGATGAGGGGACTTGTTCATATGAAGGCAGTGGAAGAAGTTATTGGAATAATCAGCTTAACACTTTTTATAAGTTATTCCCTTCCCCCAGATTTTACTTTAAAATTGCATTTTTTCAAACAGCCAATGTCCTGATAGTATCACTTCATTGACTATATCTATCCTCTCACTTGCTTGAACAAAGGGGGATTTAATTTTGGCATGTCCCAAAACTGCACATCACTATGACAAGTAATTTACAGTTCCAAAATTTGCCAGTACCAGTTGAGAGTGCCACTTTAATTTTCTCTTGCTTGATTGCCCAGGTCTCAGAAGTCAGTCAATTTACCTTAGACAAAACTCTGTAGGATATAAAAGTGTTCTGCCAGATTTAAAGTTAATGCAGACATTTTAAGCAAATTAATAAGGATTGCTTGGGTGCCTAGCATTGTCTAGAGACAGCAGTAAGTCTTTGTTCAGGTGAACTGAATTTTACAGTCAGGAGGAAAGTGAGGCTTCAGGAGGATGCTATTTCATCCTCTTAATGGGCCTCAAAATCTCCACAGGGTGGGGCAAGGAGTTTTCTAATAGCATGGGGCAATTGCCTTCTTTCTTCCACCCCCCCACCCCCCCACCCCCCCAACTAAGAAGTTATGGAGGAGGAGCTGGAAGCTGGCAGGGAGGTTTCTGGCTTACTGTCTTGAACAGCGGTCACCAACCTTTCAGACCTCACGGACCCATGGTCCTCGGACCACCAGTTGGCCACAGCTGCTCTAGAGCGTAGCCCATGAAGCAGAGGGTCTGGGCACCTCCCTCCTCCACAAGCCGGCTGAGCCAGCCAGCCAGCCTGGAATAATCAGCTTAACACTTTTTATAAGTTATTCCCTTCCCCCCCAGATTTTACTTTAAAATTGCAATTTTCCAAACAGCCAATGTCCTGAATAGTATCACTCACCCCGCAGCTGCTGCATGCAGACTGTGCCTAAAGCTGTGCGTCCCTTTATGTAAAACAATTCCTTCTCTCTTGGCTCCTCCGTCACACCCCTGCACTCTTTCACATCACTGCTCAGAGCCACTGCACTGCCCAGAGCCCCTGTCGGGCCAACACAAGCTCTGATCCACTTGCCCCCCTCAGTGTCCTGTGAAGCAACACAGCGGGATATCCCAGCAGGGGTTTCTCCCAAGTCCCCAGGGACTTCCCTGACCTTTGGCCTTCTGGCCCCTGGGGAGCTACCCTCAAGGGCTCTTTCTTCCTAGGAGTCTCAGTGAAGTGTCTCTGGCCTTGCACAGCTCCCCCGCCCCCCCCCAAGCCTCTCTGGCACAGTATGCTGGTCTTTCCATTCGTCATTTGTTTTTTCTGTTTGCCCCCATAGGTCCCTCCAGGTACAAGGTGGGCACCATGGCTGAGAAGTTCGACTGCCACTACTGCAGGGACCCCCTGCAGGGGAAGAAGTACGTGGAGAGGGATGGCCACCACTGCTGCCTGAAGTGCTTTGACAAGTTCTGCGCCAACACCTGTGTGGAATGCCGCAAGCCCATCGGTGCGGACTCCAAGGTAATATTGGGACAGGACAGGTTGGTTGTCCTGTGACTGAGACAACAAAAGCCCGCCCTCTCCCGAGTCCTCCTCATCATTGCAGCTACCCGTGTGGAAGTCAGGACAGGCAGTGGCACGGAGACAAGGAAACAAGAGGCCCCGGCCCAGGAGCCAGCCACCCTTGCTTCTAATGCTTGTTCCCTTGACAGTGTCCTGAGCTCTCTGTGTGGGACTTGGAGCGGCTGGTGCCAAGGCCCATGCCAGCTCTGTTGGTTGTACTTTCTCTTGTTTCAGGAACTGTGAGTCTTCCATCCTCACCTCAGTGTCCTTCATGTTTCTCAATTAGAACATTCACGTCAGGGCATCCCCAGGTGCAGTAGTAGGCCCCTGCCCCCCTCCTAGCACCCTTTTGTCACTCACAGCAGCCCATCCCTTCTGCTTGGTTTCCAGGAGGTGCACTATAAGAACCGCTACTGGCATGACACCTGCTTCCGCTGTGCCAAGTGCCTGCACCCCTTGGCCAACGAGACTTTTATGTCCAAGGACAACAAGATCCTGTGCAACAAGTGCACCACTCGGGAGGACTCCCCCAAGTGCAAGGGCTGCTTCAAGCCAATTGTGGCAGGTACTGCCCATATTCATTCCTGGGATGGCCAGGGAGGAGGCCTATGGGCAGAGATGATGTGGGGTTGCTTGGGACGATGGGGCTAATGCTACTGGGAGCTGCTTTTAGCTTTTAGCATATATATGCACGCATATATATATATGTATACATGCGTACACATATATGCTCGCACACACGCACACATTCGGAAACTAAAGACCACTGGAGAGAACTGTCTGTGGCAAGAGAAGGAAGTGAAAAGTATGTAGCACTTTCTCATTTGGGTAGAGTAAGTGATGGAAGCATGCTTTTTCCTTAGAGTGTAACTCTGGGTCAGACCATCCCTTATAGAATCTCTAAGTCCACAGAGGGTGTGGGAGTGGGGTCTCGGGTGTCTATTCCTCAAACACTACAGCTGGGGTCCCCTCCCTGACAGATCTGGGTTGGCACACCCACAAGTAGGCCATTGTTGAGAAACCTCCCACGGGTAGGTTCATCAGAAGCGTGAGGCCAGTCACTGCAGGGCCTGCATTCCCTCACCTCTGGAGGGCCCATGGTTGGAGTTGAGTGGATGCAGCCCCCTGCAGAGCACTATCAGTGGGGCTATCCAATTGCTTCCTCCCCCTGCAGGAGATCAGAATGTGGAGTACAAGGGGACCGTCTGGCACAAAGACTGCTTCACCTGCAGCAACTGCAAGCAAGTCATCGGCTCTGGAAGCTTCTTCCCGAAAGGGGAGGACTTCTACTGCGTGACTTGCCATGAGTCCAAATTTGCCAAGCATTGCGTGAAGTGCAACAAGGTATGTTGTCAAGGGAGTTCTGTATGGACTATTGTTTCTAGAAGCGTTTTTGACAGTTGGCAGAGCACTTGCACACACACTATCCCATTCCATCCCCACGACGGCCCTGTGATGTGGGAATTATTATGCTCATTTTACAGATGAGGAGACTGGGAGTAGAAAACTGTACAGGGCCAACTCAGGCTGTCTGAAAGGCACTCACCCTGGAGGCACAGGCAACCGGGGCTCTAGAGGCCTGCCTCCACCACCTAGTTCGCCTTCTCTGAGTCTCAGTATCTTCACCTGTAACCTGGGGATAATAATAGCACCTGCCTCCCATGGCCGTTATGGTGATTAAATGAGATATTGTAGACCAAAGCGCCCAGCACAGTGCCTGGTACATAGTAGGCATTCAACAAAAGAGTTGTTGAATCTGAATTCGGTGCTACACTCCCTGGTCTAGGCCATCACATCTGGAGGAATCACTTACCAGGATCAGCCCTGGCATGCCGAGTGCTTTGTGTGTGTTACCTGCTCTAAGAAGCTGGCTGGGCAGCGTTTCACCGCTGTGGAGGACCAGTATTACTGCGTGGATTGCTACAAGACTTTGTGGCCAAGAAGTGTGCTGGATGCAAGAACCCCATCACTGGTAGGCTAAAGAGTCCTTGCTAAGTCGGCCAGGCTAGGTTTTGCGCATGGTAACCAACTCTCATTTTCCTACTTCGGTTTCATCCATAAAGGCCCCAAAGAATGCCCCCTCCCCTTGCCATTGTGGTCCTGAAGACCCCCAAATAGTTTTGAATTCTCCCCCAGGCCAGACTAGCCTTTGCAATACAGAACACTTCCTGACTGCTGCTGACTAACGATGCTGTGCTGCGGAGTTCACGAGCCTGAGACCCACGCCATGGGCAGGCCATGGGCAGGCACTGCGCACGCGTGGGATATTGGGGGTGGGGGTTGAGTGATAGGCTGGGATCATAACACCCCATAGCTGAAGGCTAGCTCAGAGGTGCCTGTGGGCAGCTTTGTTGCCACCCGAGCTAATCATTTCATTCCTCATCTCGCGGCCGCGATCCACGTGCCCTGGGCCCTTTCCCCGCCTCCACTGTTCCCATCTCCCCGGGGAGCCTTGAAATGTACATTTGAGAAGACTTTTGCCATCCTCAGGGAAAAGGACTGTGTCAAGAGTGAGCCACCCAGTCTCTAAAGCTAGGAAGCCCCCAGTGTGCCACGGGAAACGCTTGCCTCTCACCCTGTTTCCCAGCGCCAACCTCCGGGGCAGGCATCCGGGTGGAGAGAGGACTTGTCCCTCGTGGGTGGTGGTTCTTTATAGAAAAAATCGAAGCTTAGCAGCTCCTCGAGGCCCGGTAAGTGCATACCCCACAAACAGCCCAAGTTTGCCTCCTGGTGGCCACTTTGATGCCATGGCCCTGACCTAAATCAAAGAAACTGGTTATGCTGGGAGGTCGGTGCAAGTGTTACAGGGCGATTGAAGTGGCATGGGATTGTGGGTTCTTTAAATCACAGAAACCTTTGGCTGAGCTCTGGCATCTTCTGAGGTCCTTGAGAGCTGTAGCAGGGTCACGGCGGCATGGCGTAGGGGACAGATCACGGTGGAGAGGGGTGGCCTGGGAGCTGGGCAGATCCTGCCCTGTGCTTATTAGCTCTGTAAATGGGCAAGGCAGCCGTGTATCTCTCACCTGTATTCACTCAATTTTCTCTTTTGTTCTCTTTTGTGTTTTCCACAGGGTTTGGTAAAGGCTCCAGTGTGGTGGCCTATGAAGGACAATCCTGGCACGACTACTGCTTCCACTGCAAAAAATGCTCCGTGAATCTGGCCAACAAGCGCTTTGTTTTCCATCAGGAGCATGTGTATTGTCCCGACTGTGCCAAAAAGCTGTAAAGTGACAGGGGCTCCTGTCCTGTAAAATGGAATTGA